GATACGCCATCAGCAAACATACCGCTTCGTACCTACGTTCGCCAACGTCGGCAAACCCCCATACCATTTACAACACCCGGTTTTGTCAACGAACCCGTCGACGAACCAACAGCTCCCACTGCTGAACCCGTCACCACTACACCGCCTACTGCTGAACCGGTCACTGCTCAACCGGTCGCTGCTGAACCGACCACGACAGCCACGTCAAGCCGGGCTCGTCCCGCGAATCTACGTCCCAATCCAAAACCACGGCTTCCTTATGATCCAGCAGCATATCACACTTCAGCACCCAGCGAAATTGAGCCTTCGTCATTCTCTGTTGCTAATCAGTCTCCCCAATGGCGGAAAGCCATGGCTGAAGAATATGATGCGCTTATGCGCAATGGCACTTGGTCCTTAATCCCTCCTGTTAAGCATGCCAATATTGTTGATTGTAAGTGGGTCTACAAAATTAAGAGAGATCAATCAGGTACTGTCAAACGTTACAAAGCTAGACTCGTTGCCAAAGGTTTTCATCAACAACCTGGTATTGATTACCATGAGACGTTTAGCTCGGTCATCAAATTTACAACCGTTAGAGTTGTTCTTTCTCTTGCAGTCTCACAATGTTGGCCTCTTCGTCAATTGGATGTTCAAAATGCATTTCTTCACGGTGATCTGACAGAGACTGTTTATCTTCGACAACCACCTGGCTTTACGAATCCGAAACGTCCGAATCATGTATGTCGTCTTCACAAATCCCTCTATGGGCTCAAACAAGCACCACGGGCCTGGTTTCATCGTCTCTCACAAGCACTAGTCTCTCTTGATTTTTGGGGATCCAGAACCGATCCCTCCTTGTTCATATACTCCTCTAGCGGCACCCTTTTGTACATGCTTCTTTATGTGGATGACATCATCCTTACGGGTAACAATCCTACTGCCATTGACAACATTGTCAACCGATTGAGTACAACCTTTGCAGTTCAGGATATGGGTCCTCTCTCTTATTTTCTTGGGATAGAGGTAACAAAACAAGGACCTGATCTTATTCTATCCCAAAGAAAGTACATCTTGGAAATTCTTCAAAAAGCTGGACTATCTCATGCTAAACCTGTTGACACCCCCATTACCACAACCGCCAATTTAGCTCTTGGGGACAGTCCGCCATTTGAGAACCCTGTACGATATCGTCAGGTCGTTGGGGCTCTACAATATGCAACTTTATCTAGGCCAGACATTGGTTATGCTGTCAACAAAGTTTGCCAATTCATGCATTCTCCAACAGAGAACCATTGGTCGGCGGTCAAGCGCATCCTTCGTTACTTACAAGGCACTGTTAATCACGGCCTTCGCTTCTGGCGCAACCCTAGACTCCACGTTGCATGCTTATACTGATGCACACTCTCCTTCTCTGCATGCGTACTCTGATGCAGACTGGGCTGGTTGTCCAGATGACCGCCGATCCACCGGGGGATTTGCTATATATATTGGTTCTAATCTTGTCTCGTGGTCAGCCAAAAAGCAGAAGACTGTCTCTCGTTCCTCCACAGAATCTGAATACAAAGCCTTAGCCGATACCGTCGCTGTAGTTACCTGGTTAGAATCTCTCATGCGTGAACTTCGTGCTCCCACTACTACAACTCCGGTTCTGTGGTGTGATAATCTTGGAGCCACTTACTTATCTGCAAATCCAGTCTTCCACGCACGAACAAAACATGTTGAGGTTGACTTTCACTTTGTTCGAGAAAAGGTTGCGGACAAGAAACTATCCATTCAACATATCTCTACTGAAGATCAGATAGCGGATGTCTTCACCAAACCGCTACCTACTCAACGATTTACAAATCTTAGATCCAAGCTACAAGTCGATACCCGACATTAGCTTGAGGGGGAATATTAGACAAAGTATTTTAGTCTATATTAGATTACTTGAATAGTTAGAGGAGGCTAACTGTAAATATGAATTCTATTTATATTCCTTTGTATCTTTACCCATATAATATACAATATACAATTTACCCAAGTTAACTGATACTAACTTGGTAAAGTAGTACGGAGGATCTAAATTTTGGAGGTATAATAAATAAAACATTTAATATTATTGATATATTTTTTATACTATTGTTGACGGTGAGTCTGTAACCGCCCAATACATCTTAGCCGTTCAAACTCCCTTAACTTTCAATCTCAGCCACTTAAGCTCCATAATTTACGATTACTACTTTTCTGGTTTTGGAGGTCTGATACTTTCCTTTGGAATGTTCCCTTCTTGTGTGAGGTATTTTGTGCGTTTAGGTATTGGTCTTGGGTGTAGTTGTTGTGTTTATTTTCTTTTTTCATGTTTTTGAACCCTTTGTATGTTTGCTTTGCATACGGTTGCCCTTTTTCCTTCAAATATTTGTTTGTTATTGGAAATAACAATAAAGATCTATTGTGTGTTTGTATATTTATAATTCTGGTTAGAAAGTCTTAAGATCTGTACAATCCAAAATAGGGATAAACTCACATATAAAGGCATGTCATGTTTTTCTCAACATATAACCTTCTCGGAATTATGTGTTTTGCTTCCTAAGATATGTATATTACCAGTTACCTCCTAATGAATCATATGTTGGTTCACTTTTTGCTTATTGCAGCATTCTGCTTTTTTTCTTATTGTAATATTATACTTACATATCTTTTCTTATAATGGCTTAATACACCCTGAATATATATATATATATATATATATATATATATATATATATATATATATATATATATGATTCTGTTCAAATGTGTTTCTTTAACTTCTTAATTATATATATATATATTATATATATATATATATATATATATATATATATATATATATATGATTCTGTTCAGATGTGTTTCTTTAACTTCTTAATTAGATAATTAACTTCTCCATCGGTTTTCTAAAGATATACATAAGATTTTAGTTGTTATTGAAAATGTTATTTACTAATTTGGAGTCATTTTTTCTTTTGTTGGTGTCGAAAATATTTAAGCACTTCAAGAGAATTCACAACATTTAACATATTGTTTGAAAATATGTAAGAACCAATGTTTTTCATTTTTGTTCAGCCACATATTAAACTTAAGACCCACCACTAAAGAACAATATTGCCCCTGTATTCTCCATTTCTTCGTATTTGGTTTCATGCTCAATATCTCAATACATAAAAGTTTGGGTTTTTTTTTCCAATTTATCATTGATGAAGATTTGGTAAATACGTACATGTTTGCCTCATTTTCCTTTGAGGTTGCTGCACCTGAAAGAAATATTATTTAAGCCCTTTGGACCTGAAAGCAAATCATTAAAACAATTAAAATGTCGAACAAAAAAAATTAAAGCAATTAAAAATACATCAACATAAAAATACATAGTCTTATGTACATACCCTTATGACACAGTTGGCAATGTAAGAAACTAAATCAGTCAAAGAATCATGAATACAACTAAATATTGATATATAATGCATATTGCATAATGGATCGAAATTTAAATGTCGTAAAGTTAAGTTAAATAATAATTAAGTTTTTTAGTAAATTGATACACACTCCTTTCTCTACTCCTTGCCGACTCTAGCGAAAATTCATAGATTTCCTATATATTATGACATAGCTTAGCTTCAAATACTTTTACATAATAATGATATAAAAGAAAGTAAAATCAATATTTTTTTTATTACACCGGTCCATCGTCTACCGGGCGGGTATAACACTAGTTACATAATTGGTCCGTGAGGTCTATTGTATTTTTTAAATTTTATTTAAATGCATCTTGGTCATATTTACAAAAAAATAACAACTCAAAAGTTCGATTTAACATATCAAAGACTAACCACCTAAGAAAATGAAACCAAAACATGTAGAAGTTTTCATCCTTGACCAACTAATTCTATTAAACCATAAGGACTAGTCGTGTAATTTTGTCTTAAATATTTTAAAATTATGAAAGATGTGTAATTTTTTAATGGGAAAAAAGTGCGAAGCGACTTTCACTAGAAGGGTTGTTGTAGGTAAAATGCACCTTTCTTAACTACCATCCTTCATTAAAACATAACATTACATTTACACCAAAATTCTGATTTTGACACGTCAGCATATCATGTCAGCATGACACATCATCAAAACTGACACGTTATCATGTCACGTCAGCATGTAACCTGGTTAACCGGTCAAGTGGTCAGAATTGTAACAAATTGAAAAACACAATGTCAAATTTGAGACAAAAAAAAACACGGTGTCAAATTAGAATTTTGGTGTAAACGTAGTGTTTTTTATGCTATTTACTCTAAGTTATAACTATATATCTTATTTTTAATTTTTAATTAATTCAAATATGTATTGTAGATAATAAATCATTTATCATGATTAAGAAAATATCAAAATGATGCATCTCTCATATAACTTCAATTAAAGTATTAAACTTGCCTAAACGAGGTAATAAGTGTTAATATAATTAAATAAAAATTAGAATATACGATTTTTAAATAGCTCAAACTAAAGCATACGTTTTCAAATATAAAAATATTATTTTACGAAAAATATATATTTTTTTTAACAATAATAATTCTCATTACTAAAAATAATTTAAAAAATAATTCTTTTTTATCCTATCAATTTACATAATTTCAAACGTTGTAAAATCAATAAAACTAATTTTAAGTACTTTTTTAGAATCTTTGCTTATAATAATGTCTCTCTTGCTTATTAGTTTGTATTAAACAAAATAGTAGGTTTTATTTTATATATTTTAATAGGTTTTTTTCTCATAAATATTATACAACAAAATTATGATAAATAATATTTACTATTTTCTAAAGCTCGTTGAATAATGAATATGAAATATACGTTTTAGAAATGGAGTTTTTTTTTTGGGAAGTCTCGTTAATAAATATTACATAACATGAAAACCCTAATTATTTATTACAATAAAACTTCACGTTACAAAAGGGAATGAAATTCCGAAAACCGTCACAATACGGTGATTCCGTCGCTACAGTGATCTGCTAATCTTGTTCAAAACCAGTTTGCTTCCAAATGGCATTTCTAAGTCTACTCAAATCTCTCCCTTTAAGAGTTCTTCCAACACCTTCATGTACGGAAAGAGAAGCACTCCTAATCCTCGATAAATACTCATGTGGTGGCAACCAGTGATCATCACAGCCACCATGACTATCGTCGTCATCAAAATGATCGCTGTCTGATTGTTTGTAAGCATCACGGAGGATCTTTGACCAGTCCGGTACGTTGACTGGCAATGATCCAGCGCTGGGCAGCGCTCTTTGGTTGCTTCGTGGAGGTTTTATTGGTTGTTTTCTTGAGGTAACCATTGATTTCGAGATGGGGATTTGTGCGTTGATATGATAATCGTCGTTGGTGTTCCAGATGTCGAATTTGATCATCTCGAAGTTATCAAAATCATCTTCGTCGCTGGAGCTGATTCTTTGATCAGCAACAAAAGCTTCTAAATGGAGGAATTTTGGTCGATGGTGGACGGAATTTCTTGTTGTCATTACAGAGGAAAATATGAAGACTGATTGGGTATGGTGATTGATTGGGAGGTAGGCCTTGCCTAAAGGTATATATAATTGAGTAGCCAATGCGTCTATTCAATTATGTAAGCATGTACTATTTCATTCATAAAAATAGGAAAATAGCAAAAAACTCATTATAGTTTTATCTTTTTATCTTTTGACACTTTCTTATCATATATTTAAATCAAATATTGCATATATATATATATATATATATATATATATATATATATATATATATATATATATATATATATATATATATATATAAAAGTTCAATAAAAAACCATAATTATTGGTTTTTCAAAGAACTAAATATTATTTTCAAGTTCTAGAGCTTATTTTTTATCGAAAAAAAAAACAAAAAATATCTAAATTCATAACTTAACATTGTGAATGTTAAATATATTTTTCGGATTCACCATGTGAATTTAGATTCACATTGTGAATCTTCAAAAATTCACATTGTGAATTTGACAGAAAAAACTAAAATTTATCGAATTTGATATCATTGGAAAAATGATAAAAAGTTATGAATTTCTGTATTTTTATTTTTTTTTGATAAAAAATAAGTTCTAAAAGTTGAAAAAAAGATTGGTTTCTTGGTTAATTATGGTTCTCTATTGAACCTCACCATATATATATATATATATATATATATATATATATATATATATATATTATACCTTATAACACATAATTAATCAAATGCTGAATTTTAAGTCGTACAAACCATATTGCACTATTTACAATCATTTTATGCACTACCAAGAATCTTATTTTAGTCAACAATCGAAAAAGTCAAGAAAACAAATCCTGATCATAGCTATCCTTATCTTCCGGGGCTTTTTACTAAGTCCCTTGTAATCGTTGAATAGTGCTTGGCCACATATTTCTGCCGATCGATCCTATAAGATTATAACCAGTATACACTGTACACTTAGGTTAGTTCCAGTATGCATCAACAACAACAGCTTGGCCTGAATCACTCTCTAAACTAATCCTTCTCATCTTCGTCACCGGTGACCTAACCTCGAATTGGCAACCTTAAACTCATAAATAATCAAAAACTGAAGCAAGTAAGCTTTTTGCATAATCATTTTACACTTAAATCTCATATTATCTTGTTGTCATTACAATTGGGTAACATGTACCATATAATCACACAAATTTCGACATAAGGGTATTTTGGTCAATTAACATATACTATAAAAGAAAATTTTCAGATTTTAAGAGATAATTAATTATCTTATTTTTAAAAATCATAATTTTTTAAATTAATTCAAATTTAATTCTAATATAATTTTTAATAATAATCGATTTTATTCTGTCAGAATGACAAAAAGTCAACCATAAACTAATAAAGATATTTTCGATTTTATTCTTGCAGAATATGGTTTCATTCAAGATATTTTTATAATTAACACACTTAAAGAATTATACAACATATTATCAATTATAACATTTTTTGAAGAATACAAATTTTATTCTTTAAGAATTACTAATTATATTAATTCGTAAGGAATAAGACTATAAACAATTATTACATTCATTTAAAAAAATGACTAATAATGGTTTAAGAATTACATTTATTCTTAAATATTAAAACTAAGAATGGTTCAAAAAGGAAAAAAAAATATCAAAATCTAAAAAAAAAACTAATCTATTCTGAAATGATATTATTGTTAAGAAACACTTTACAAATTGTGGCAAAATACAATCTGATAGAATACACTATCGATCTCCATGTTTTCTTCATTTTCCACATTAATGGCAACTTTTTCAAAACCTAAATCCACAAAGAAAACATAATCATCTTTCAAATATTAAAAAATTCAGTGCATTCTAAGAAAATAAAAAATATTAATTCAAACAGAATTTAATACACATTAAAGAATTGAAAATTATTCTAATAGAATGTAATCCTAAAACTACAATGAAAAAAGATGAGGTCTTATAAGCATTTCATTAAACATTTAGAGGGCATAACATTTAGACACTAGTGCAACAAGAAGAATAAGTAATGCCCCAAAATCAAAATCAATATTTGAAACTAAAGATTGTTAATTATGTATTATTCATTTCTCCTCCATTTTCTAATAAAATAGGTTGAATCATCAAACACAAATTTTACAAATAAAAATGGGACAGGTGTCGTATTTAAAGAAAAAAACAATTACTCTTTGCAAAAAATAACACAGAGCTCTAGAATATGCATGTTCCTTGTAATGTCATTTTGGTTGATGAGATTCTTATTAGCAAAAAAAACTTGTCAAAAAGATTATTAGAGTATATAAAAAAAATATGTGAAACTTCAAAGCGTTCACACTTGAAAGAAACCAAAGCACAACAATTAATATTATAATGTACACAATTTACAATTACTATAACTCTAAAAATCAAAAACTAAGTAAAAATGTGTGGAGATAATTGGTAAGAAAAAAGAAATGGTATACTAGGGGAAACCCAAATTAAAAAAAAAAAAAAACTTACGTCATAACGAGATTTCACTCTTGTGGATTTAGGTTAAGGAAGCAGTCGATTGAAGGAGAAGGAAACCAGAGTATTGATGTCGTAACATGTAGCACGAGAGAAAAAAGTAATCGTTTTTGTTGGATTAGGTGTCTAAACTCATAACTATAATTGGTATAAACTTGATTTGATAGTAACACAGTCTTTTTGGGTTGCCCTCAAACCTACCAACCGGACAATATACTTTTGGAGAAAAAGATTGATTTATTATTTGATTGATAAATTGAAATAAATATATTATTAATATATTATGAGAATAATATATTAATTAGAAATAGTAATATTTAATTAATATTTAATCAGAAATTAATTGGAATTAATTTTGCGATTAAAGAATTAATTGAAAGTGCATGGACTAAAGTGTAATTGTTCAATAGTTGAACAAGAGACATTCTAGAATGTCCTTGAGGCCTTGGACGATTTTGTGGAGGCTTTAGGGTTTCTAGAATTATCCAATTCAAGATAATTACCCAATTCAAGATAATATTATTATATTGGGTTTAGGCTTATCTAGGGTTTCTTTGCTGATAAATTAAAAGCCTAAAAGTTAGAAGATAAATCTTTGACTTGATTAATTTTTTTATTGATTAATATGATTAATTTTTAAGTGTATAAATAATTGATTTAGATATTAATCCTAATAATTAATGTCAAATATTATTTGGTTTATATTAAATTTAAAATTATATAACTTTTCGAAATTTATTATAAACCTAGTATTTTGAAAATGTTTTACAATACACCTTATACTATATGTAAATTAAAAGTTTAATAATTATTATATGTATAAGAATAAGTCAGTCGAATCGCTAGTAAGCCTCATTCACGAAAGTCGTATTATAAGGGGAGTTTAAGGAAGCGGCCTATAAAATGACCGTCATTGGGTATCCACTCTTACCCACCGCTCTCTTGTATGTTGGAGGGTCGTTAGCCGAACGAGTTCGATAGGAAAATTAATTCTCATTAATAAGTATAATGCGATTAAAAGCAACTAAACTATTTTATTTTAAAATCTCAATCTTAGTTACTTTAGAAAAAATGTGAATTTGTATGCTAACCCATGAAATTGTATAGTAGTTAGTGGAGCACGTGTGGTTAACCGACATACTAATAGTGACTATAAAGAGTTATAATGAGTGTCTTGAAAATCATCATTGATTAATGGAGTGTATGTGGTTAACCGACACATTAAAATGAGATGATAAATGACATCGAGAGTGTCAAGCTAATTTGCATGGTTATTCACATCTTGTTTGTGATCCTCGGTATACCAGTCACAAATGGAAGAGCATAATCTGAGATTAAACATGCCATTGAATAGTTTCAACGAGTCTCAAAAGATCTAGGAGTTTCACTTAACTTAATTTCCTTCAAATTTCGTTTTTCAATGGTGGAATTGCTAAATCGTCATTTACCTATCTTTATAAAATTTACAATTAGATTACGGCGTCCCTTTTCTAAGTTGTGAATTTTTTATTTAGATCGTAGCCTTAATATTTCATTTTGGGTTGTTATATTAAGGAATATTCTTATCTTACTAAAACTATCTTCCTTTTAAAGATGTCTACTCCAAATGATGCATCTGGTTCATCCTCCTCCTCCAATCAAAACTTCTCGTTGCTAAACATCTGCTCAAGGGTGACATTGGATGGTACCAACTATAATGATCGGATGCGTAACATCAAGATGGCCCTTTGTTTCGAGGACAAGGAGTACATCCTTGAGAAAGATTTCAATGAAATTGACGAAGAGAATGAAACTCCTAAAGAACTGGCCGCATGCAAGGAGCACTACAATGATTCAACAAAAGTTGCTTGCATCATGGTGGCCACCATGACTCCTGAATTGCATAGATACTATGAGGATTATTGGTCGTATGAGATTAACAAGGACCTTATGGAGAAGTACCATAAGCGAGCTCGTCAGGAAAAGTATGAGGTGGTGAAGTCCCTCATAGCAAGCAAGACGAAAGAGGGAGAATATGTTAGCAACCACGTGCAAAGAATGCAATGATATATAGACCGGATTGTCAAGATTAATGTGAATTTTGATGAGGAGTTGGCTATCGACATAGTCTTGAACTCCTTACCAGTTATGATCAGTTCATCTTGACCTATCATTTGAACAACAATGAGACCACTTTATCTCAATTGCATCACCTCCTGCGAACAACTGAAGCAGGGATGAAGGAAAAAAGTGTTGCCTCCACTCCTTCTAGTTCTCCCGTTCTGGCCATTGGTCAAGGGAAAGGGAAAAAAGGAAAGGTCGTCCAAAGCAAAATTGGAAGGGAAAGTCTCAAACTAGGTCATCAAGCAATGGACCCAAAGGTAAATCCCGTTCTGATGCTCCCCCTGTCTCTGATCCCAAAGAGGCCACATGCTTCTACTGCAACGACAAAGGGCATTGGAAACGAAGCTGCCCAAAATATCTGTAAGACATTAAACATG